TTCGAGTGGTGAAAACAATAGTTTACGAACGAGCGCAGCGAGTGAGTAAAATCTTGTTTTTAACACGAGAAGATACAAGTCATATCTTCAAGCCACCGTGTAATGTTCTTTTTATTATATAGTCCCAATCAAAAAATTGTATAAATACTAAAAGTCACGTGATCGATATCTTCACTAGTGAAGATATGGAAAATATGTCACTGTGTATTTCTCAGTATCTCACTCTCTACTATATAATAAATAAATATATATATATATATATATATATATATATATATATATATATATATACAATAAACTATATATTCTTTGAATGTTTGCATGGCGCTAAAAACAAAAACGATTAAAAAAATTAAAACAATTATTTTTTCCACAAACAAAAACAATTAAACTATAAATTATATTGTTATTTAAACTATATATATGTAATAAACTATAATATATATATATATATATATATATATATATATATATATATATATATATATATATATATATATATATAGGATTACCCATACAAAAGCAAAAATCAAGGTATAAATCTGGTACGTAAAACATTGTGACAAAATCTGAAATGTGAGGTGCAATTATATGGGTAGCAAAAAGTATAATTTCTGCGCTTCTGTGCACGATGCAAATATCTCAAAAGTAGAAGTATTACTTCAACTTTTCGAACAAGGCTGCTTGAAAACAAGGGCGAAATTTGTGTACATGTTTCGCATTGGCATCACCTTAGTAAATATATTTCCACTTGCATGTGGTTAGAGCTTGACAACTGGCCTCTGTAGCTCAGTTGGTTAGAGTGCTGCACCGGCATCGCCAAGCCGGAGGTTCGATTCCTACCGGAGAGCGTATATTTGCTTTTTTCGTAACTGTTTCATTAAGGTAATAAAGCTGTGAGTGCATGCATGGTGAATAGAAACGTTATACTGTAGGATGTAAATAATGAGGAATTCCTATTATGAAGATTTAAAAAACTCATTAATAATTCATGAGGAAAAGACGTACAAAGGAAATCACTACCATGTCGGTGCTTTTATACGTGATAAAATCATGTTCATTTACATGAACTTTATAGCTTTGATTTTCTCGCCAATGAACTCATCAGATCGGTCGTTTTTTAAGCCATTTAAAACATTCGCAGTCCGTGCTTTATCAGATATAGAACACTCGAGCTGCACTCGCGTGTTTTATATTGATCTAATAAAGCACTCCTGCTCGTGTTTTTCGTCGATCAAATTAACATTTAAACTTGGTCGACATTCGCATAAGAGGTTTAAGTAGTATTTAAAACACGAGAAGGAGTGTTTTATCATATTGAAAACGCGAGGCGCAGCCGAGCGTTTTAGATATGATAAAACGCGAGTTCGAGTGTTTTGAATTGCTTAAAATACGACTACAAAAAAATACTAATTAGGATGAACAATTATATAATCATACTAATTAGGATGAACAATTATATAAAGAATACTAATGAAGATGAGTTTTATCAGATATAAAGTCACTCCACGTGACATATTAGGCTATGGCTGACATGATTTGCCACAAGGTTTATGAATT